ACAGTTTCAGTTTGGGATGGATGAGAAGGTTCCAGAGACAGATGGTAGGGATGGCGGCAACAATGTGAATGAATGTAATGCCACTGAACTGTACCTTAAAATGGTTACAGTGGTAAATTGTATGTGATGTGTATCTTCCCACAATACAATAAACGAATGTAACCAAAACCACACAAAAAGGTGGCATTATTGTCATCACTCCTCGGATGTACGAATGAGGAACTGAGGCTGAGAAAGATTAGACCACCAGCCCAAGGCCACACCAGTGTGAGTTCGAACTGGGGGTCACATCCTTAGGCCTCCAGAAGCATGAGCCACCTTGTAAGCGAGAGTGGGGAGCATGGAAGGAGCCAGAAACCACAGAGCAACAGAGTGAAGGGCAGTGGAGGATCCAAGGAACATGGCGGCGGCAGAGGGCAGGGCCCGGATTAGGCCACTGACAGCGGTCCCATCACCTCAGTGACCAGAGCCTTGACCTGGGCCCAGTCTCTACTTTGCCTCTCCCTAGCTGTGTGACTCATCCCAAACAGGGTCCCTTCACCTCTGACAGTGATCATCAGAGCACCTGCCCAGATCGCCCACCAAAACCACCACAGAGTCCCGCCTCTGGATGGGTGCTCACTGTCTTCCTCCTCTACCCTGCTCACACTACACTTCCAGAAAACCTCGATGATTACCTAGCCCTCTGAGCAACACTATATACAACATAAGTGCCATGAGGTTACTTTCTAAAGATGCTTCTCCTGCCCCTCCACCGTCCCACGCAGGTGTGGAGAACAGAGGCTGCAGCCCTCAGTCCAGGCCTGGCTCAGGGCGGTGGGGGCTTGTTCGAGAGCAACCACCCGACTGCTAACAAGAAGCCTGGGCCACAGGGCACCCGGTGAGACAACGGAGAACACAAGGAGAGGAGAAGCAGAAAGAGGGAGGAGAGGCCAGGAGAGCTCGGCGGGCAGGAAGGAACGGATGCCTGGGGAGGCACAGCCGGCCGGCCCTCTTGCAGGCAGGGCAAAGAAGGCCGCGCCGGAGCTGCGAGGGGGGAAAGATAGAGTGTGCCCCATGCTCACCTCCCCACTGCCTGCCCACGGGGCCAGAGGCCAGGCTGGCCAAAGGAGGTCAGAGTGACCAGGCAGTGACCACGGCAGTGCCAGGGCGGGGGTCACACAGTGACAGGGCAACAGTGAAGGCGGTCAGGAGCGGGAGACGGCTAGTGGCCCTGGGAGCCTGTCGGCAAGTTGCGGGAGGCTCGGCTCAGAAAGCACGGGCGCTGGTCTGACCTGCAGCTCTGCGTGCTACCTGTGCATCTGCCCGGCCCTCCTCAGTGTCCCGCTCAGCTGTACTGGGGCCAGCGCTGGGAGCAGGCCTAATCCCTGTCCCCAGAGGCTCCAGCTCCAGACCCCTCCCCCGGGCGCCCCAGAGTCACTCTGCTCATCCTCAGCTCCCACCCTGTGCCCCATTGGGCTGGCCCACCCAGAAAACCACCGCTGGCCTCTGAATGTGGGAAATGGGGTGTGCACAGAGCGGGACTCTCAGGGGCTTGGGCACTGGGCGATGGCAAGTGTGGGTCCCCAAGGGAAGACGAGAAGATGGAGGAGAGCAGCCAGAGTGAGGTGAGGTCTGAGTCAGCTTGGCAGCCTGTCCCTCTTCCTCCACCTCCCGGGTCCCATCCCACACACGGGGCTGAGCTCAGAGCTATATATACCTCCCAGCTGGACGGCAGCCCCTGCTGAGGGCCCCTGCACCAGCTCCCTGCGAGGTCCTGCCCTGGCTCAGCCCCCATGCCTGGTAAGAGGAGATGGGGATAAGCCAGCGTCTGGACCCCAGCAGGATCTGTAGTCAGGGAGGACAGGTGCTGTGGGGGCCGCGTGAGTCATCAGACACTGCGTGGCAGCCTCCAGTGCCCCTGCCCAGAGCCTGACCCACCTGGAGCCCGGGCCAAGCAGAAGGGGGGGTGGGGGGGAGGCGGTGTGCAGGGAGGAGAGGAACAGGCGGAGCAGGCTTCACAGAGCACACAAAGGCCATTCAGGGTGATGCGGGAGCACTGCGCTTGGGGGCAGGGAAACTGGTTCTACCCCTGGCTCTCCCACTTACTACCTGAGAGACTCTGGGAGAAATTCTTGGCTTCTCTGAGCTTCTATCTCTGCATCTGCAACCAGCGGTTATAATTCCTCCCTCCTCTCCCTTGAAAAGATTGAAGCGATAAAGGATGTCAGAGACCACTGAGAGCCTCTATCTATCTTCCTCGGCATGATTAAGAGGCTCCTGGCCCCTGCACCCTCCCCTCCTTCCCTCCCTCCCTCCCTCCCAGACCCTCCCCTGTGTGATCCACCTCCCTGTCTCTCTGCACAGGAGGAAAACCACAAATGGGACACCAACGTGGTCAGGGCGGTTTGCCAAACACGGTTTTCATCCTGCTCCCCCACCACTCATCAGCTCCCCTCCAGCCAAACAGAATTCCAACCCAGGGTCTGCCAGAGGCCGCAGGCTTGCACTCTGCAAACTGGCTCAGTCACTATCGTCTGCTGACTGATAACAAAGTCTCTTCACCCAATTCCTTTATATGTGAAATGGGGAGAGAAACACCTACCCATAACCACTGAATAAAACTAAGCATCCACCAGACGTCCACCACCAGGCAAACAGATAAACTGTGGTCTGTCCATACAGCGAGGGGAACATTATCAGGTCTCGAAAAGGAAGTTCTGATGCAGGCTGCAACGTGGAGGAGCCTTGAGGACATTACGCCGAGTGAACTAAGGCAGTCTCAAAGGGGCAGACAACACTGTACGATTCCACTTCTCTGAGGTGCCCAGAACATTGGCATCCACAGAGAGAGAGCAGAGCGATGGCTGTAAGGGGCTGGGGGGCGGAGGGGCTGGGCGGCAGTATTTAGTGGGTGCTCCTCAGGAAGACGGATGGGGCTGGTGGCTGCACCCAATGGGAATACACTTTCTGCCACTGAACTGTACACTTACAAATGGTTAAAAAGGGTAAACTTTATGTTACATATATATTTTATCATACATACCTTTACCCCACCCCTTCTTGCTTTCACACCTCAGCACTTGATCAGTATGCGTCCCATTCTCCACCAAAGTAGTAAAAAAGATCCTAGGATACCAGTCCTCCATTCCTCTCCAGCTCTATGGGAAGAACCTAGTAAAGCACTTGATCCCACATTTAGTACCCAACAGGTGCTCCATCCATGTCTGCCATATTCTCCATGAAGCTTCCAAAGGGGCCCAAAATAAGAAGCAACCACTAGAGCAGGAAGTGGTTAGAGCAAAGGTGGGGAGGGTGGCGCAGGGCATGGACACCCACAGAAGTAAGGGAGACTCTGTAGGGACCCAGCAAAGCCACAGCAGTGGGGCTGCTGAGGGGAGATGAGCAGTCAGAATTGTAACTGGGGCCTGAGGACAAGATCCAGGGTCCACCTTGCCAGGACCTTGCTTCCCCAACAAGTAAAAGAATAAGAGGAATCACTGTGGCCTTGCAGGCAAGGCTGCAGGTAAAGAGTGAGTATCAGGTGCTATGAGAGCCCTACACTCCCCAAGGCGGTAACTCACAGGACACGTGTTCAGTCCAGTGGAGCTGAGTTGAACAGTGTCCTCCCACCCCCAGAATTCTTGTCCACCCAGAAGCTCAGAATGTGACCTTATTTGGAAACAGGAAACTGAATTAGTTGTGAAAAGTATCCCTAGAAGAGGTCAAGACGCACAGGGAAGATGGCCGTGGGACAACAGAGTCACGGACTGGAGTGATGCAGATACAAGCCAAGGAAGGCCACGGATTGTGGGCAATCCAGAAGCTGAGGGAGAGGCCAGAACAGATTCTGCGTCAGAGCCTCCCAAAGGAACCAACCCTACAGACACCTTGACTTCAGACCTCTGGACCCCTGAACTGTGGGAGAACAAATCTCTGCTGTGTTACGCCACCAGTCTGTGGTCACTTCTCACAGCAGCCCTCTGAGATGAATACAGCCAGCCCCCACAAACCCCTTTACTGTGTTGGGGGGAGGGGCACCAATGCTAGATGGTCAAGAAGGAACCTGAATGGAATCCTCTGGGGGTGGGTGCCTGGCCTGGAGCCATTTTGTTAGGAGCCAGGGCAGGGCCCTCTATCGTTAAGGGTGCCAACCAGTTACAGAAATACTCCTACCTCTTGCCCAAGACCAGAGTTTCAAGCTGAGGGTCCCGGGAGACTTTCCACTGGGAATGGAAGTCTGACCTGGGCCTTCCAACAGCTATTCAGTTTTTGGTTTTGTTTTACTTTCCCACATAATCTCTCTTCCATCCAAAGGTCAGCAGAGCCTCAGGCAGACTGCTTGGTCCTTCCCACATGGCTAGTGGACATAAAGTATCTCTGTATGTTCTGCATCCTCGGCCACTCACAAAGATCAAGCCTTTCCAGATCACTCTGAGCTCAATGGGACCTTTCCTGAGGGAAAGGTCTACAGCACTCTGCTTGCCCCTCTCCTAGAACACTCCACATCTGCCTTGACGCACAGATGTGTGTGCTCACCTCGCCTACCCCCACCATACTGTGAGCAGGGGCCAGCTTCTTCCCCGCTTAGGCCTGGCACACAGAAGCCTCATGACTGAGTGAGTGCATGAATGAAGGAACAAATGAGTCCAGTAAGCACCTTCCTAACCTCCCTTCAGTCAAGGTGGGGAGCTGGGAGCTGATGGGGCACCTGCCTGGGGAACAGCTTACAGGATTGTCCCAGTCGGCTCTGGAGGGGAGGAGGTATTCTTCCCCTTTCCCAAGTCTTCTACTACCGCAGCCTCTCTCCCACTTAAAGGCTTCTCCTCACACACCCTCCCATGCCTTGGGATCCCAGGTCAGCGGAAGCGGCGTCTGCCCGATAGAGGCCCAGTGGTCCTTCCCCCTTCTGTTACTTGCAGAACCCCAGGTTGCTGTGCCTGGCCCCTCGCCTGGGCCCTGTTTGCAGTGGTGGACCACGAGGGCAGGGGCCCGCCACCCCACCCCAGCAGGCTCCTTACCGTACATCTTGCCCTCGTCCGAGAGGATGATCTTGCGGCGGCCACAGGGCGGGTAGATGGCCAGGGCCTCCTGGAAGCTCTGCTCAATGTCTGGACTCCACACGCCCTCCGCATCATTGTCGATGGGCTTGTCCAAGGCCTGACTGCCCCCAGAGACGGTGCTCCCCTCAGGGGAGTTAGGAGGGCTCCACTCGTTGGAGGTAATGGTGCCGGCCTTGCCCTCCAAGGCTCCGCTTGGAGGAGCGCCCGTTGGACCTGTTTGGGCAGAAACCCCAGTTTCGGTGTAGAACCATGTGGCCATGGCACAGGGCACCCCGGGGAGTGCCAGTGCTGGGGTTACTTGCCCTTCCCTGCTTGGCCACCCACAGCACAGGGGTTCAGAGGGGAAAGGGCAGGGACCCAGGGTGTAAGGAGTGAACTGAAAGATCGGGGAACATCAGGAGGCCTGGGGCAGGTCACTCCCCCTCTGTGGACCCCAGCTTTCCGCCCTGTTAAGCGAGACACACACGGAAGGCGTCCTCTGAGCACAGCCCTGAGAACCCAGGCAGGGAGGAGACGTAGGCGATAAGGACCGAGGACCAACAGACGTTCTCACATTCAGTCAACTGGGGACCAGAAGGACGTAAATTTTGTCCACCAACGGAAGAAATGTAAAATAGTAACCACTATGGAAAACAGTATGGAGGTTCCTCAAAGAATTAAACATAAAACTACCATATGATCCAGAAATTCCACTTTGGGATATACATCCAAACAAACTGAAATCAGGGTCCTGAAGAGGTATCTGTACACCCAGGTTCACAGCAGCATTACTGACAATAACCAAGAGGTGGAAGCAGCCCAAATACCCATGGATAGATGAACAGATAAACCAAATGTGGTATATACATAAAATGGAATATTAATCACTCTGAAAAAGGAGGAAAAGTCTGTCACATGCTACAGTGTGGATAGGCCTTATGGACATTATGCTGAGTGAAAAAAGCCAACCACAAAAAGACATATGCTATAGGATTCTACTTATATGGGATATCTAAAGTAGTTAAGGGGAGCCTGGGTGGCTCAGTCAGCTAAGCATGGGGCTCTTGATTTCAGCTCAGGTCATAATCTTGCAGTTAATGGGATTAAGCTCAGCACCAGGCCCTGTGCTGACAATGTGGAGTCTGCTTGGGATTCTCTCTCTCTCTCTCTCTCTCTCTCTCTCTCTCTCTGCCCCTCCCTGGCTGATGGGTACACGCTCTCTCTCAAAATAAAAAGGATAAAGTTAAAAAATAATTTCAAAATGAAAGAACTCTAAGCTAAAGGAATAAGTAAATGAGCTGTTACTACAGTAACCCTGGGAATCAGTGGGGAGTTGATCTTAGTACTGAGGCCACTGGGTTTTAATGACTATTCGGATGACAGTGCTTAGACCTGACAGATACAGGGAGGTTGGAACTCAGAACTATACCTCAATCCTCAGCAAAAAGACAGAATACTGACAAAATACAACAAGGAAGATTGTCTGTCTGCCTAAGTCCTAGGTTAAAAAAAAAAATCCTAAATATTTGTAACCAAAGTCCTGCCCTTCCCTTAAGTGGATTTGAGATTTGAATTTTACATTACTCAGAAATTCCTAGCCAATTCATTAATAATAAGTAGTGGCCCATGGCCATGAAAAATCTCTGAAAAGACAGTCTTAACCCATACTGCAGAGAATTTCCAAAGATAAAATCTTGCTAACGAGGTTTTCTAATGCAAAATTACAACACAGAAGAAAGAGGAAACAATCTACCATGATCAAGATTCAATAGGATTAGAGCCCAAGAACTAGAGATAACTGAACTGTCAGATAATAACTATTATCTAGTGGTATTTCAAATAATTATTGACTTAAACAAGGAACTCCAAACATAAAGAATTAGACACAATCAAAAAACACAAAGCAGACTAGAAAAAGAACCAAATAGGATATTTAGAAATAAATATTTTAGTCACTGAAGTTAAAACTCATGTTTAACTTAGGTTAACAGCACATGAGATATAGCTAGAGAAAGAACTGATAACCTGGAAAATAGATCTAAGATATTACTAAGAAATGTATTTTTGTCATGATGATAAAGAGCAAGGAAAACAAAATAAGGCACTTCAACATACCTGCAATTAGCATTCCAGAAAGAGAGAATACAGAAAATGAAGTAGAACAACATTTGAAAAGATAATGGCAAGGAAATTTTTCTCGAAAGAATGAAACACATGAATCCTCCAATTAAGGAACAATATTGAATCCTAGCCAGAATAAATTCAAATAAAATATACACATATTGTAAGGACACTGCAGAACACCAAAAACAAAGAATAGATCTTAAAAGCATCCAGAGTGAAGAATGACAAATCACCTACAAGGAAAGGACTATGACATTACTGTATATACAGATAGTGGACTTCTCAACAATAGCACAGAAGGATCCGATGTAAAGTCTCCAAACTGTTGAGGGAAAAATAACTGTTAACCCAGAATTAAAAACCCAACCAAAATATCATTCAAGAGTAAACATTTTTAAAAAAGCATTTTTAGACAAAGATGCAGAGAATTTACTACTAACAGACCCTCACTAAAAAAAGAAAAAAAAACAAGAAAAAACCAGTAAAGGAGATATTTTTTTAAGGGAGCTTCTAGGAAAAATCTAAACAATATTAACTATATAAAAACAATAACAACAATGATGGTGACTAAGTTTGGTCATGTAATACACACACGTACATGTATGCACATATAAGAAAAGCCATATTTCTGAACCATAAATTCAGAAGATGCATCTGCTAAAACTCCAGAGCCAGTCACAATAAAAAATACTTAGCAAATTCTATAAACAAAGAAATTTCCTTGAATGTGACAAATGGCACCTTCCAAAAACCTACTGGATGTTGTAATTTATAATAAGAACTGTGTATCTGGTCTTTGTCCCAGTTTCTAGCACAGAGCTCCTAAAACCCTTGGAATTTCCTAAGAGATGAGAGCGATAAAGGTGTCTTCTTATGTGAATGTGGTGACTTTTGGAATGCATCTAAGGATGAGGGCTGGTGGTCAGGAGAATTACCCATGTAATTAGAGGGTTGGAACCTTCAGTCCCATACCACCACCCCTTCTACAAAGTCCAGGGAAGGGAGAGGGACTAGAGGTTACATTAATTGCCAATGGCCAATAATTTAATCAATTGCATCTATGTAATGAAACCTCCATAAAGCCCAAAAGGAGGGGCTTCAGAGAGCTTCTGAGTTGTAACACACGGAGATTTGGGAAGAATGGCACCTACTTGTAGAGGTTATAAAAGTTCTACGCCCTCCCCCCGACCTTGCACTATGTATCTGTTCCATTTGACTGTTCTGAGTTATATCTTTTGTAATAAACCAGTAATCTAGTAAGTAAAGTGTTTCTCTGAGTTCTACGAGCCACTCCAGCAAACCAATCGAACCCAAGGAGGAGTTATTGGAACTTCCAATGTACAGCCAGTGATAACCTGGCCTTGCCACTGGTATCTGGGGCTGGGGGCAGTCCTGTAGGATAAGCCATTAACCTGTGGGATATGATGCTACCTCCAGGTAGACAGTGTCAGAATTGAATTGTAGGACACCCAACTGGTAACCCAAGAGGCTTGTAGGTTAGTGTAGGAACATTCTCACCCCTTCAACTCCACTCACACATACACACACTTTGGAACTGGTGACCAGAACTTTAACCTGCACAACGCTTACTGACTAAACACTAGAAGCATTAGCTTAAAGTCAGAAGTAAGATATTGATAGCACTTTCAACGTTTATACTCACTATCTATACTAGAGTCCTAGCTAACACAGTAGGACAAGAAAAAGAGATCTGAAGATTGGAAAAAAAGAAGTAAACTGTCATTATGATAAGGAATTACAATAGAAGACTGAAGAGATTTGACAAATTACCATTACATTCTTTGATATCAGAAGTAAGGTGTCATACTTTACTAATTTCTAAAAATGGAATATTTAGAAGCCAAAGTCATAATTTACCATATCTAACAATAGGTGAGACAAAATCATAATGATTTTGAAAGACATAAAATACCTAAATAAATGGAGAGGAAAACTGAGTTCCTGGATAGGAAAATAAAGATGTTGAATCTCTACCCAAAACAGTCATAATTTCAATGAAATTATGATTTAAAATTCCACAAGGTCTTCCACAAAACTTAGCAAGCAGATTCTCAAAATAGACGAAGAACAAAGACCATTCTCAAGATGTCTTAACTCACTATCTTCACCTTCCTTTCTTCTCTTTGGCCTCATATTCTGCCAGACTCATTCCCTACGTGTTTTCCTCAGGGCTCTGACCTGACCTCTCCTTTCAAAAGCCCATACTTAACCCCTGGGGGATCCCCACCCACTGTACATTTCTGATTCCCCAATCTGCATGTCCTTCCTGAGTTCAGGCATACATGGCAACTGCTTACCAGGCAGCTCTAATCAGACTTCTCCGAAGCTCCTCAAACTTAACACGTCCAAAACCACATTTTCAGAGGTCCTGGTCCTCTTCCTCCCCTGTGTCTCTGGAAATAACACCACCATCCGCCCAGAGGCCAGAAATCTAAGAGTGTACTCTGACTTTTCCCTCTTATCTCCCTAAATAATTAACAACCACATCCTATCTCTCTCCTAAAAGTCTTCTTGAAGCCACTTCTCCATCTGAGCCTTAATCCAAGCTTCCCCTAGAGCTCACCTGGATGACTGTGCCAACCCCATGTAGACTCCATAATCTGCCACTACAGCCACAGTGAAATTTCTACAATGCAAATCTGATCATGTGATTCGTCTACTTAAAATCTCTCAATGGCTTTCCCATGATCTTACAGAAATTGGTATGTTCCACAACAGGATGTCATAAGGCTCTTCACCAGCTGATTCCTGCTCTCTTGCTTTACCTTCTAGGCATCCTCCATACTCCCTTCTTTGCACCTGCCCCCGATCCCCACAATCAATTATTCACCCTTGAAGCTCTTCCCCCATACCTGGAAGGGCTGCCCGCGGCCTTCCTCCCCATCCCTCTCTCACCTAACTCCTACCCATCTTTAAGGTCCAGAGGAAATGACATTTTCGGGAGGATAACCCGGGCCTCAGTCTGGATTAGGCACCCTCCTCTGAGCTCCAACAGGTCCCCGTGCTTTACATATCTGACCCCTCCATCTCCCACGAATGATGGGCCTCCACCATACCTCAGACTCCAAGAGGGTGGGGACAGTTGTCTT